CTCCTGTGGATACTTCAGGGTTGTCCCTTATCCCCCCCCCCCTCCTCCTTCCCTCCCCTCTCCCTTCCCCCTCCCCTCCCCCTTTCCCTCCTCTCCTCCTCCTACCCCCCTCCCCCCCCCCCCCTTTTTTTTTGAAGGCTGAGCCCTTGCTGGGTGCTTTCATTTGTCCTGTTCTTCTGGCCGGGTTTTGACGACTGTTATGTTTTCGGTTGTCGTGTTGCCCCCGATCCCGTCCTGCCACTGGCCTGGACAACTTGGGTATAGTTGTTTTTCCCAAATGTATATCCCTACGGATATCTAATTTTTTTTACTGTAATGTTTCCGGTTTATCTATTAATGTCACTTGTTTTCTGTTTTGTTCCATCGATGGTTTTCCATTTACCTTTTTCTGCTGGTACACATGCTATATCTATTGTCATTTTGTGATGGCTTTACGACTTCTGTCATATAATGTCAAAGGCCTTAGTTCCATTCAGAAACAGTGGACGGCTTTGAAGGAATTACGATCTTCAGGAGAAGACATTATTTTTGTCCAGGAGACCCATTTTAAATCAACAGGCTCCTTTCGTTTTGCCTCAAGGTTTTTTTCCCAATCCTATTCGGCCTTTGACCCATCTGGGAAGGCTGGAGTGGCAATACTGATTCGGACACATTGCTCCCTTTCCTCCAGATCGTTTCCTCCAGGGTCGATCACCAAGGTCGCTTCATTATCTTAGAATGTATGCTTGGCGACACTCCTCTTATCTTGATGAATTTATATGCCCCTAACTCAGGTCAGTTACAGTTTCTTACACAAACACTCGCCAAATTAGGCTCATTCTCTACTCCACACATGATTATAGGGGGTGACTTTAACTTAATCCTCTCACCACACAAAGATAGGAAGGTTCTTTTTAAGTCCACTTCTTCAAAGCGGCAATGCTCCTCCTCGAAATCCTTTCGCAAATTGATGAGGGAACTTCGCCTCTTTGATGCCTGGCGGATTCGGCACCCCCTCCATAAACAATTCTCTATTCCACCCCTCATCATAGTTATTCACGCCTAGATAATTTTTTTTATTTCAGCTCCTCTGCTCCCTCTTAAGGTTTCCTCTGACATCAACCCTATCACATGGTCTGATCATGCCTCCTTGACCTTAAACCTGTTATTCCCTACTGTTATGCCAAAGGCAGGTAATTGGCGCCTCAATGAAACCTTTTTAACCATGGAACATCTCCGTGCTGAGCTCTCACAGGGACTTGACATGTATTTCCACCACAATGTAGGCTCTGTACTATCCACCTTGACCGTATGGGAAGCCCACAAGGCAGTATTTCAAAATCTGTGTATCTCCATGGGTTCTCGATTGAAGAAATCCTCAGAGAGTGCCAGGATTACCCTAGTCTGCCAGTTAACCTTGGCTGAATGTAGACTTCTCGCAAAACCGTCTATTTCTGGGCTGCGTAAAGTGACCTCTCTTTGTGACAAAATCAAGGCTCTTTATACCTGTAAGTCCACAAAATCTCTTCTCTGGGTCAAACAGAAATTCTGCGAATTCTCCAATAAACCTCACCGTATGCTTGTCAACAGACTCAAAGCCCAAACTCCCTCTACATTGCCAGACCATCTCATCCAGCCAAATGGGGACCCTACTTATGACCCCCATGTAATGGTCTCCCTTTTTGGCTCATATTATGAGTCCCTTTACAACTGTTTAACCCCAGACCTCCACCCTCCTCTCACAGTGACTTCTTTTGATAGGTTTTTTAATCCTCTACTATTACCGAAGGTATCGCCTTCTGACATCCCGACCCTTAATGCTGACATTTCATCTGAAGAACTATTTGATACAGTCAAACATCTCCCCTCACGCAAATCCCCGAGACCAGATGGACTTCCCTACTCTTACTACAAGACTTTCATTGGTATCCTGGCTCCCCATATTCTCTCTCTCTATCAAGATTTTTTCAAGGTTATTACTCCCCAGGCTGACTTCTCCCGTGCATATATTTCTGTAATTCCCAAACCGGACAAGGATCAGTCTATTTTAGATAATTACCGTCCTATTGCTCTACTAAACTCTGATTACGTATAAGATTTTTACTAAGATCCTAGACAATAGGCTTTCCAGGCTCATCTCCAAGCTCATACACAGAGACCAAGTAGGCTTTGTTCCTGCCAGACATGCAGCGGACAATACCAGGAGATCCATTGATCTGGTTGACTTGGTTAACCGGTCTTCTACCCCCACCATTTTATTGAGCTTAGATGCCCAAAAAGCTTTCGACCACCTCAGCTGGCCTTATATGTTTATGGTCTTGGAGAAGTTTGGCTTCCACGGCCCTTTCGTGGCAGCTTTAAAAGTTCTTTACTTTTATCCTTCCTCACAGGTCAGACTGGCCTCTTTTCTCTCACCTCCTTTCCAGATGTCGAATGGTACGCGACAGGGATGCCCACTCTCCCCTCTATTGTTTATCCTCTGCTTGGAACCTTTGGCTATTGCAATCCGATCTCACCCCGACATACAAGGGATATATCTCATGGCCATGAGTACAAACTATTCCTATTTACAGATGATATCCTCCTTACACTCTCGAATCCCCAAATCCCCAAATCTTTCTTCCAGTATTGCAAAAAATTTTCATCAGCTGTGGGACCTTCTCGGGTTACAAAATATTTGGTTAATACCCTCCAAAACTGAAGCACTCCCCTACTTCACATCCCATCAGCTGTTCTTTTGTCTCTCCAGGAATTTCTTTCCCTTATCGATGGTGCACTCATTCTCTAAAATATTTGTGTAGTAGAGTCTAGTCTCACTTCCTCCTAACGGTTCTATATATGATGCCAAAATTCGAAAACCCCCACTCCCTTTGAGCGTCTGTGCATACAGGGTCCACATCAAAGGGGCATAATTCTATCTAATACATGTAAACTCCCTTTGAGCTTATGGTTGATTCCCCCTTATGGTTGATTCCCCCCTCTCTGACACTCACCTTTATATGCGCAAGTGGTCCCCGTTTTTACAATGTGACATCGATCTGACGCAGTGGAAGAAAATTTGGGAAAACAGATCTAAATCTTCTGTCTGTGTGGTTTATACGGAAAATACATACATAATTATGATGCTGTGGTACAAAACTCCCAATGTAATTCATGCCTTTAACCCGAATGCTTCTTCCGCCTGCTGGCGTCGTGGGAAAGACCTTGGCTCCCTCTTCCACATTTTTTGGACTTGTGGATCCATCATTCCCTTTTGGGAAGAGGTTTTGTCCTTTTTACAATTGCTATTGCATACCTCTCTCCCCTTTGAGTCCCTATACTTTTTATTGAGCCTGCCATTCCCAGGTCTTCCCAAAATGGCCAGGAAACTCACCACACATATTCTGACAGTGACTAGAAGAAGCATTCCTATGTGTTGGCTATCCTCTATACCTCCTTCGACGCCAACTCTGTTTAAAATTATGGCTAATGTGTGACAGATGGAATACCTGACTGCTCTACACCCTGTTCGATTGCTGTGTTTGAGGCAGTGTGGCACCCATGGAATAATTTAATCTCCTCCCACCTTTCTCCAAATGTACAGTTCTGATGGCCTCTCCACTGTTGCTATGTGACATTATGCTTGTAACCATGCATATTTCACCATCGATGTGCTATATATGTGAAAACCAATAAAAATTGTTAATACAAAAAAAAAAAATGTATTTCCATAATAATTAGGTTTAACATTGCTGTCCAAACATATTTCAGTGCATAGATATACCAACTTACCTGGTGTAGGCATTATCCAGCACGGTAAACATTTACAAATTGGACCATATACTGATATATAAGAATGTCAACTATCTCTATAGCATCAATGCACAAGCAACAGTTAGTGCAGGAACACACCTTTAGGCTGACAGGAACAAATATGAGATGGTGCAGCATGGACACAGCATAATGATGTAGTGAAATGACACATGAAATGCCTTTGTCATTATGTGTACCCTAAACAATCACACTAATATCTGTGCTTACATTAGGGGGCCTCAGAATTTCAGCAAGATCAGAGTGATGTGCAAAGGCTCCCAGGTTAACTGCTGTAACACACTGGAGTGGAAGCAAGAGAAGATCCTACAAAAGTCTATGGGGGTCTGCTGCCTAGGCACACACAGCTCAGAAAAAATTATGTGAAAAAGATACAAACAATATGGTAGGCCATGGAATACAAGGCATGTGTAAAGAGTGAGGGTGGGGGGGTCTAGGTGGAAGACAAAAAAGATTATCACTCTTTGCTTTAAAATGCAATTATGCTTTAAAGTGTGTGTAAAGACAAACCTTTTTAGCATTGAATAATGCAGCAAAGTGACAAATCCATTTTTGGGTTACTTTTTGCTGTTTGTGTCCTGTTAGGGAGATTTCCCTTTACTTCCCATCTTAGAGACATAATATTCTCTGTTAAAATTTCCCTTTAACTCTTGCTTTCATGGCAGTGACGATATTTTGGATTTTCTCTTACTTTCCATCTTAGTGACAATGATCACCAGGTGACATAGGAGGTGGATATCTCAGTTGGGGACCCAAACCTCTAAATAAATTAGCAAATGGTCTAATCCTTCTCTACTCTATACAGAACGAAAAAGTGCATACACTTTAACTGCCCCCTGCTGGCCATATAAGATAATGGTGGGAGTGCGTCAGTTCTCTCGTTCTGGGGGGACGTCACATGACGTACTCCCACTCTAACCGTGCAGCTCAGCGATCAGTGGTGCGCTGTGTCTCTGAAACACTGCGGATCACTGATCAGCAGAAAGAGCTGATGATGTCGGCTTTGTCATGTGATCAGCTGTGTCCAATAACAGCTGATAACATGTAAATAAGGAAATGCCGGTGATCGGTATTCCTCTCCTCACAAGCTGTCACGCTGACAGCTCGTGAGGAGAGGAGAGCTGGTAATTGGCATTCCTTAGAGGGGACATGTACACTGATCATTAGGGCACTGATGATCAGTGCCCTGATAATCAGTGTAGCCCCATCAGTGCCATCTGTCAGTGTCCATTAATGCCACCTGTCAGTGCCCATCAATGCCACCTGCTAGTGCCCATCAGTGCCACATATCAGTGCCTACCAGTGCACATCAATGCCACATATCAGTACCCATCTGAGCTGCCTTTCAGTGACAATTATCAGTACCAGTCAGTGCCACCTATCAGTGCCATGTAACAGTTCCATTCAATGCCGCCTAACAGTCCCAGTCAGTGTTGCCTAACAGTGCCAGTCAGTGCCGCCTATCAGTGCCATATGAGTGCTAGCTTTCAGTGCCCATCAGTGATGCCTGTCAATGCCCATCAGTGCCACCTACCAGTGCCTCCTCATCAATGCTACCTATCAGTGCAGCCTATCAGTGCCCATCACTGCAGCCTCATTAGCGCACATCAGTGAAGGAGAAAAATTACTTATTTAAAAAATTTTATAACAGAAACTAAGAAAAAACTTTTTTTTTTAATTTTCGGGTTGTTTTTGGTTTGTTTAGAAAAAAATTAAAAACCCAGAGGTGATTAAATACCACCAAAAGAAAGCTCTGTCTTGCATGACCGATCAATTGTCATTCAAAGTGAGACAGCGCTGAAAGCTGAAAATTGGCCTGGACAGCAAGGGGATGAAAGTGCCCGGTAGGCAAGTGGTTTTAAAGACCAGAGAGAAGCTATACTTGCTGTACCTAAATAGTCACTTCACAGGTTAACTATTGGTACTGTATTGGTAAATTGGCATTAGTGGTCAATATTATAGTCATCAAGCTTCAAAGATGCTGTTTTCCATTTAAAATGGTGTCACAATGTTCTACTGTATGCCATGGCTGGTCAGCAACTTGTTTTTGCTTCCATCTGTTACACTGCCATGACTGTGCCTATAATCCCATGTTTCTTGTCGAAAGATTTACTATAGCTTTGGCTGTCAGCAGATGAGGCACCCCAAGAACGGAAACACCTTATGATGAATTCAATACATCTTTGAAGGAGTTTCTAATGAACATTGAACACTTCTAAGCATTTGCTTCTTAGACCAGTGAGAGATTGGGAAATTAAAAATAAAAAAATTACTACAATCAGAACAGGACCTGAAGATACAATTTTTAGCTCAAGTTTTTCCACACATCTTGTGCCAGCTTCACTTACTGCTTTAAATGAAAAGAAAATTAGAATTGCATGTGGGATGTAGAATAGCAGCTAATGCAGGAACAGGAATAATGACATTCAGGCTGATTAAACAGAACACATTAATTTTCTCTATATCTTGCAAAGAAGGTAGAATACAAAGTTTGTGCTGGATAACACTTGAGTGCCAGGCAAATAGTAATCTCAGCAATTAATCACCCACATCAGTCCAGTGAGTTTTTTTTTTTAAAATTACTTCTATAAAAGCCACATAGCTCTAATTGTATAGCTAAAAAAACACACATCCGGCTTGCAATTCTTCTTATGTTTTTAATGTAAATTTATAGCTGAAAACCTCTACAATAGGTATTTAACATAGGCAAAAAAATGCTTCCTAACGCTATAATGTGAAATAATAGACTTAAAAAGATATGCTCTTTGTTCATTTCAACAAATTTTACACAGAATTAAAAAAAATTATAATTTAATAATAATAATAAAATAAAATAACAATTTCTGCTGAGTTGTACAGACTAGTCACTACTGTCTGTTTTAAAATAGTGTTTAAGTTCATAATGTTTTTTTAAAATCAGGGTCAGATTTGTGAAAACTCCATATACTGTATGTCTCGGTCTGAGGAAAAGAGGTAAATTTGAATAGGGTAGCAAACTGCCTTTCACTTTATTCGTTTTTTTACACTTCTCGTTTATGCAAACCAATCAAGAAACACATCATATAGACTTATTATTTGATTGATTATTATACATGCAATTTTTTAATTATTAGCACAGATTTGTACCATGTTAAGCAGAAAGTTTAGGTGGAAATGATACAATTTATTAGCTTGTTTTATAAAATATTAGTTTTATATAAAAGGTGTTGCATTGAAATATGCAGCCACAAATACCTATGGTAATATAGAGGACAGGGGTGGACTGACAACTCATGGGGCCCCCGGGCAATAGGGGATCATGGGGCCCCTGTGTCCTCGCCCACACCCAAAAAAGCCTATGTAAAAGCCAATGAAAGGTACCAGGAACATCTCAGGGGGCCCCCTACTGACCCCGGGCCCTCGGGCAGTGCCCGAGTGATCGAATGGTCAATCCGCCCCTGATAGAGGAATTATAAAAAGAGTAACCATAACACTGGAATTTTGACCTGTTTAAAAGATTTTTTATATGGTGATTAGGGTATTTTTTTTCTTAAGTCATAGTAAATCACCATTTATTTGCATAGTACTGCTTTAATATGTGTATGAAGAATTTTTACTGTTCAGTGACTGACATGCATATCCATGACAGAAAGCTAACTGTGGCATCGCATTACCACTGTGCTATCAGCAAAAATAGCAAAAATCATTCCAGTTAATACAGATTGCAATACTTTGACACCTATCTATCAAAAAAATTACTTGACAAAATATTGCCTATTGTGTCTTTTTTACAGTACAGTATATGTACTTTTGTCACTCTTTACCTGACAGTTTATGTACATGGTCCAGTACGCAGATGCAACCAGAAATCTACACAGCAGGTTATGGAGCATGAGCAGTGAAGCCATAGCCCAACAGGACTCATGAGAGGGTGGGAAGCTAACCAGAACAGTAATGAGCCCTAAGAGTAACACAGGTTAATTGGACAACTAGATTACATGAACAATTTTACAGTGCTAAGAGACAAAATTATAGATAAGAAAATTGCCAGAGGTTACATGCATAGTAAAAAGTATAACGTTGAATAAGGACACCAGTACATCCAGTTCAACCTGTGTTAGTGTGTAATTAAGCCACAGCCATTTCCCATATCCCTGTATATTGGGTTCACTAAAATGTCCATCTAAAAGTTTTTTTTTTCGAATATTAACACTCCCTGCTGACACCACCAACTGTGGAAGGGAGTTCCACATCCTTACTACTTTAAATGTAAAGAGGTTCTAGAGGTCACAAATCGAGTACTCTCCATTATAACTTTTTTTTTTTGCACTAACATACAATTTTCAGGACAAGCTTTCGGGGTATGTCCCTTTCTTCAAAGTCCAAGCAGTACTACTTCACAAAGTTTTAGCAATCACCTCAAGAAAGAGGTCACAGAGAGACCAGTTTGAATTTAATGGAATTCATAAATTCTGAAAGCTGTGTCCAAAAAAAGGCAAGCAGAGGAAAAAGGACTAGTCAGCAGTATTTCCTCTATTTGCTCTATTTGCAGCTAATCTCTTCCCCATGCTGACTTATTGGGGTTTATTTGCTAAAGCTGGAGAGCACAAAATCAGGCTCACATCTGCATAGAAATCAATCAGCTTCCAAGTTTTATTGCCAAGGCTTAATTGAACAAGCTGAGGTTAGAAGCTGACTGGTTTCTATGCAGAAGTGAGCCTGATTTTTCACTCTCCATCTTTAGTAAAGAAATCCAATTATGTCTTGTTCTGCACTGTGTCTCTGTGTAGATATGGCCATCTTGGTAGAGGCAGGACTTTTCTTCCTCATGTCTGAGCGCTCAGCAAGGAGAACAGTGAGTAGTACTGAAGAGACATCACCAAACCTCACTCAAAATCTCCTAGCAGTTAGAGACAGAGGTGTGTTAGATCTCACAATGCAGGTTTTAAGCTATTAGACTACAAACACAAGAGTGTCTAGGAGCACTAATATACCAGGAAATGTACTACTATTTTTCTGGAGGAAATCAAGATTAAAAGGTGTATACAATGTTCAGCGAGCGCTAGATAAAAAGCAGCTATTGCACTTAAAAGGAAAACCATATGCCTTTAAGAAGATAAATAAAGTAATAGTGCAGCGCTAAAGGTATAAATTAAATAAATAAATAGGTACGAGGGATCAATGGTATAAACATAGATATGGATAACTCCAAACAGTGCCCAATGACTAGGTATGCGTTAAAAAACGAAAACTCTGAAAGATGTATAAAGAGTTCAAATAAATATGGTCAAAGTTCAGATAAACATCAAGGGTTATCGTCAGGTGACTCTGTTATTCCCAGTTAAATGTGATGCAATACTCCGGTAGTGTGCAGGAAATAGGTAAAATGCGCACTCCCCAGATGTGCATATATATAGCGTGTTGTATACAATAAATGGTTGTCTTTCAGGGATCCCTTCTAGGGTGGTACTGGATACAGCCTGGGGTTAGATGGCCTTCCTTTCGGTTACAGGATGATGATAAGCCAGAGGTTCCATCAGGTAGGCCCATAGTTAGTGGCATAGGGTTGCTACGTTCGAGAATTGGGGGAATACATTGATTGCTATTTATAACCCCTAGTCTGTACAACACCATCTTATTTAAAAGACACCAAACAAGAACTCAATGAAACCAAGACCGTCCAGTTGAACCCAGAACAAGTGCCATTTCTTGTGACTGCTGATGTTGCGTCCTTGTACAGTAACATAAACCATGGGGACGGAATGACATCGGTTGAGTACTATCTGAATGAGGCACATCACATCCCTGGAGCACAAAAGAATTTCATCTTAGAATTATTAGACTTTGCCATGAATAAGAACTACTTCTGGTTTAATAAAACATACTATCTACAAACCAGAGGGGTGGCAATGGGAGCCAAGTTCGCTCTCAACCTGGCTAATCTATTTATGGCCAGGTGGGAGGTGGATGTAATATACGCTAGAGAATGACCTGAACTAATTTTCTATAGACGATATACTGTATAGACGACATCCTCCTATTTTGGCAAGGAGAAGAAGATGCTTTGATTCATTTTTTTGGGACCCTCAACAACAATGACCTAAGCATTCAACTTATGCATACAACACCAAAGAAATCAATTTTCTGGATGTAACACTAATCAACAATGAAGGTCATATAATCTCTGAAGCATTTTTCAAGAACACTGACCGAAACAGTTACATCCCGACGGATAGTTGCCACCACCTTTCTTGGCTAGCAAATATCCCTAAAGGCCAATTTATAAGGGTGAGGAGAAATTATGCCAATATAGAAGCTTATCATATTAAAGCAAAGATTCTGAAACAGGTTTATCAAAAAAGGTTACAATGGAGCCAAATTAGAAATGGAAATGGACCATATAGCTTGCCTCAACAGAGACGCCATGTTATCCAATTCCACCTCCCAAAGAAGTGACAAATTCTGCCTGTTTATAACATCCTTCTCGATACAATTTAAGAGTTAGTAAAATTATCAATAAAAATTGGAATATTCTGAAGGCAGACCCCATCCTGTCTAAAGCCCTACCAGAAAAACCTGAAATAGTCTTTAGTAAAGCGCCCACTCTCAGGAATAAGATTTC